TAGCGTATTGTAAACTTTTACATTTTTAGTGATATTGAAACATAACGCAAGAAAACATCGTATTTCAATATATCTATATTAGAAATAATAGAAAATAGAAATATACAAATATGACATTTTGTTAAGTTTTCGTATAGATAATCCTTAAATATATCGACTTAAAAACAAAGTGACTTATGCCACTTTCAAAATAAACGGCTCATTTGTGCTATACATTTTTCTGTATACTTTTAAAGAATCAAAGATATATAAAAATTGTAGAAAAATACAAAATTTGTAAGTCATTTATTATCGATTGTAGCATTTCAATTCTACTAGAAACGAGGGAGGCTAGAGTTCGTTCAAATTTGCATGGTTTTAACACCATGCTTTTCTCGAACAGCTTTCTTGTGCAGTTTAATGGACATAATAAATGCAACGTATGTTCAAACTTTTCTTAGGTAACTTTCAGAAAATTCTCAAGGGTTGGTTACACCGTTTACAAAAGTACGCGAAAAAGAACCTACAACAATATGTTCCACTGTACCTTAAGTTTTTTAAATCATTGTACAAATGTTTTACATTGCATAAATTGCATCACTTTGTTTCTACAACTTAGAATAAAATACCACGTTTGTCACAACAATAAATGTACTTTTAGGAAATCGTGACGACGTCGGTCGTAGCGGTCCCTATCAACCCCTAAAAACGTTCTTTTTATTTTAATTTGAACAACTATCTTTTACAGCTACTCCAAAATTTTAGAATGCTTTTTCATGCGTTTCTTTTTATACGGTCTTCGTTCACCATACAAAAACCGGCTCGAGTGTAATGTAAATAGCGTTCAGGCTGCTAATTCTTTTCCGCTGCGACACAACCCGATTCCGAGACTCGCATAATCGAGTAGATCCCTCGCGAGAGTAGCAACGGAACTTTCTCCAGGGGCGTAGAAATTTTTTCCAGCCCCGCAAAACGTTTGCTCTCGTGGGCGGAGAGTTGGCCGTGCCGTCGCGGAATATATTAGGAGTTTCGAGCGCGTATAAAGACTAGTTTATAGGCGGTGGATAAAGAAAAGTTTCAAAGGATCGAGCGAGCGTGCACGGTGCTCCCTCGATCGAAGGTCGCCGAGCGATTTTTCAGGTATCTGACGAGGGACGGAGACGAGAACCGCTTCGTTACTGTTCCGCGGCGATAACGTCGATAAGCTTGAAAACTTCGCGAGCACGCTGCACTTCCGAACTATAACTATAGCGCGCCGGCCCGTTTTTCGGGGACAGTAATCAGCGAACCACAGATATTTATGCAAGTTGAAATTTTGATAGGCGAACTTGGAGGAACTGGAATTAAAATCTCGCTGCTTGACAATTCATTCGGCAGAGAGATACTGCGATGCCGCTTTGAATCTTCTTAGAGAGACTTTCCAGCCTTTTGAATTTCGAGTGCTTCTATTAGGTACCACTGCTCAAAGATGAGTAGTGCAATTTTTTTTAAACGTTCTACTCTTCACGCAAGATGATTTAAGGTCTACGTAAAAGGATTTTGGAGTTGTATTTGTAAGAGAAAGCGCACTTGCATTTCTCAGATGGATCGTCTCATTTATGATACATCTGAAACGACAGTTAAGTAGACCTCCAACTTTCTTCTTTCTAGAACATCTTCTTTTGATCTTCAAAGATACTGTAAATATACTGCGAATAAACAGGACCGTTATTCTTGTCTTTCAAGATAAGGTCAAATTTTATCCATTTACGCTATGTACAGTGGCCCACAAAAGTGCTTGTAAACCTTTCAAAACGCAATAACTATTTCAAAACTGAACCAAATGACTTGAATTTTTTTAAAAGATAGAGAGGGGCCAATCTACTAAATGATGACTGAAATGCTTTTTCTATCTATTCGAATTCTATCCATTTACACTATGTACAGTGGCCCACAAAAGTGTTTGTAAACCTTTCAAAACGCAATAACTATTTCAAAACTGAACCAAATGACTTGAACTTTTTTAAAAGATAGAGGGGCTAGTCTACTAAATGATGACTGAAATGCTTTTCTAATAACAAGAAAAAGTAAAAAAACTCCCGTTTTTTTTAACTTTTTTATATGGGCTTATAACGAAATTTTGAAAAATGTCTTTCGCAGGTCTCGGCAACTTCTATGCATGCTAAAAATTATATCAAAATCTTTTGACGTTGTTACGAGTTAGATCAAATTGAAGATCGCAAAAATCGCAGTTTTATCACGATTTTGATAAAAAAAACCCTGGAAGAAACCTGTAGTTTTAAAAATCCTTCAATACCTGCAGCTCGACTTCGGGTTAACTAATTTCGATGAAATTTTCAGCTCGCATATAAGTTACCGAGATCTGCGAGAGGCATTTTTAAAATCTCTGTTATACAGTCAGATAAAAAAGTAAAAGAACGAGAGTCTTTTATTATGTTTCGTTACCCCAAGTAATAGCAAAATTTAAGAAAGGCATTTTAGTCATTGTCTAGTAGACTAGTCTCCCTATCACCTAAAAAAATTGCAAGTTATTTTATTGAGATTTAAAAAATTTATTACGTTATCTTAAATTTTCCTCGTTCGAAGGCAATTCGGATACCTTGTAGCGCGGTTTTTCTTACTTAACTCCGACGACTTTTAGCATCGACGTAGCAATAAATTACATAGACGTAGAACTTGACACAAGGAAATTCACGGCAACCCGAAATTTAGCATTTCCGGGAGAAATTAGTATATTCTCGTACGAGCCTCTAAGTTCGATCGTATTTCTTCCAATGGATTACGACACGCGAGACGTCCGTCCCACGAAATGTATTTCACCAATTTCATTTTCTCTTTTTGTCTCGATCTTTTGTCCGTCGCTGCATCTATACGGGAGAAGAACGGCACCGGGCCAAAGCATTTAATATACATGGGGCGGCGACGGGATGGCAGAGCAATCGATGGAACTTGCTTATTGGCAATTTGTCGAGTGATGAGATGGGATGTAGAAACCTAGTAACGAGGAGGTTGTTTTCCGAAGACGAGAGTGCCTTCCGGCGTAAAATCGGCCCTAGCCCTTCAACCTGGCCATCGGTTGCATCGCGACCGAGGGTGGGAAACTGAGTGGAGTAGGGTGGCTCCGGGCCGAGAAAGCAGGTGGAGAGCAGAGGGGAGGGGCGAGGCGGTAGCATAAGGAGTCTTTCGCGGGATGCAATTTATCCTGTCGCATTAGATTCAGAATAATTGATCCCCTGGGCGGGTGCAGAATAGCGAGTCATTACTTCAGACTGATGGCACTTCCATCGGCCCGGCTGGCCGGCGGAAAATAAAAACTCGGAGATCACCTGCTCCCGATGAAAAATTTGACGGCCCCGGACCTTGGGAACCGGAAGGGCGGAGAACGAAGGAAAGCCCTTCGAACGGGTTGTTTTCACCGGAATGAGCAATCCGCAGCTGCAACACCGGGGAAAATTCGTTGCTCCGGACCGGTGTACTCGTCCATCTATTTCTTAGCCCGGTTCCCTCTGCCACGCGAGCTAATCCTCATTCTCTCGCTCCAATTTTCGAAAAAATTCAGATACCCCGACCGAACTACGAATACATGCTTTCGGAAATTAACTCCTCAGCGTTACGCGAGCGAACAGGGATTCTGGATAATTGGAGGTCGCGTCTGATCGATGCAATTTTCATTCTTATTACCAAACTGGGGATCTTTGTGCGAAACAAAAATTATAAGAAGCCAATTGGATGTTTCTTTATTCCTATGACTGTTTTAATAAGTTGAGAATGACGCGTCCCTTAATTTTTCTATTAATGTTTTTACTCATTCACAGCCTTTTTATTACAATTAATTAAGTCATATCTTCATAGCATCTACTACAATTTTTATAATAAATGTTTTGCTATTATAATGTTAAACAAGTTGCTTTGATTTTGTGTGTCTTTTGTAAATACTCTCGTGGTAATTACTTATATTAAGTACATAAATGAAGTACGTAAATTACTGGTTAAGTACTTACATATGATAAAATAATGTTACGCTATAGACTTGAATAAATCAACATTTTAAGTATATTTTATAGTGCATCATTCTTCGATTCAACCTGCAGTATACATTCTGAAGAATAGTAACTTTATTTTTATTGGATATATATCACAACAACTCTTTGATGATATAAACATTCTGGAATTCACTGATATTTTTAGTTTTCTAGTATCTACTATAGCAAAACTCATGCTAATCAAAAATCTTACACGCTTTTTTATTTTGGATAGACAAAATCATGGTTACGATGAGACGATCTTTTTGAAATTCGATTATGTTTCAAAACAGTCAATGCCATCAATTCCAACTCTTTTTCTAATTCAAAAATTTTTTTAATGTTACTGAAACATATATAAAAAAAGATCCCAAAGGAAAGTTAAATGAAAACGCAATAGACATTATATTGCCCCCGAAGCGCAACAGCGAATGGTTAAGCTCGTGAAAAGAAACGTAATATTTTTGTTGTAAAAATTAAATCAGAATAATCACCGTTTACATCGATAGAAAATAAAGGAAAATTCTACCGTCTGCGAGAGATCCTAATCAGCCATTAACACGCTTGCCGATCAATTTGCAAACTTCATCAAACGCGCTGTGAAATTCAGCCGAGCGAGAGAAGGCTTAACGCGCGACACGACCCAGCAAATTTGCCGTAATAATTGGATCGGGCGTCAAATTTTCCGACATTTAATAGATATCACAGAGAATAATATGTTTCGTGACGCGGCCGCGGACGCGAAGAGTGCCGCGCCGTTTAAAATGAAATTTGTATCCGCGCGAAGGTCGCTTTCATATTCATGATCTATTAAAATTCGCCAGCTCCGCGTAATAGAGGACCGAAATGATTGAAATCTGAATAAAACAGGGAATTCTATACCGCGGCCGGGCGTGGCGTGTGCGTAATTAATAATCGTAAAATAGCCCAGCCGGCGATCGACCCTCTCTACAGAGCCGGCACCGCGCCGTAGATTTTCAAAAAGTAAGAATAACTCACGTATATCGAGTGCTCGAACATCGCGCGGCGGACCGATCAGCGACAGCAGTGCACAGAACTTAGCAATTATTGGCAGGCAATCAGTCTTCATGGTCGCTGCGGTACGGTGCCTTCATGGAAGCTCGGGGCAATCGTCTGAAAGCACAGACAAAATGTCTACCTTAAAATTTATTTGCTTTTAATCAATGGTTAAAAGCGTTCCCCTTGCCTTTAACCTGTTTCTACATTTTTTATCGGGAATATTGTTTGAACAGTACTATACAGGGATATCCTAATCGGGATAATTCTTATTCGCTCGAGATACCAGAGATTTTCATCTCGAAATATGGACCGCTTAACTTCTCTAATGGTCCGGGCTTTGATTGATCTTATTCCAATATATGGAAACCAATCGGTGCAAGTCCATCGGTTCTTTCTTTTTTAAGTTCCTCGTGAAGGGATATCAGTGTGCATAAAAATATCATTTCTTGAACTGCAAAGGAAAATTGAACTTACATTATTGGCAGAAGCCAACTGTTCAGAAGTACAGGGCATGAATAATACTGTTAAAATTATCGATTGGTTCTGATGTAATCAGTTATTCGTTGACTTTTAACTTCACTGTTCTAAAAAAAAAAGAAAGAAAACAGTTATAAGTCCACTAAAACTTTCATTCCATATATGTATGTATAAACAGAAAATTTTTACATTTTCGGAAATGGGAGAAAGTTCTTGTTGGACGGTAACGTAATGAACGAAACGAAATAAAAAAGAACATAGAAAGATCACCCCCTTTTTTATGAAAAGTGACATTCAATAAATATTACATACGTAGTATGTTTCATTATATTATATTTAGACGATGTGATTGTATGTGCACCGTATGTACTGTCCGGTGCTCGGAAGAAGTCAGTCATTTCGTCTGAAAGGTAAGGAAAGTATTTCCCTTTTAACACGTTGACTGCCACGCGTATTTACAACAAAATCTCCTACAGGCCACCCGTGCCGCTATAGGAAGCGTGCGCTGTTAATTCATATCTGTTTCTATTCCTGCATGAACTGCTGGAATCTTTGCCGAGTACCGAATGGTATAACTTAAAATCTCTGCCCTTATTTTTTTTCAATAATGAAAAGAGATCGGATTGGCCGGAAGGAGAAGCATAAATAAAATTACATCGTCAGATTCTGATTTGGATACTGATAAATATAATCTTAGTGATAATGAATGTTATGAAGATACTATTGACGAGATTTTACGAGAATTGGTCATGGAAGAAGAAAGAAATGTTGATGATACCGAGGAAGCTACGGTTCAAATAAAAGATACGAAATGGACCGATCAGAGGCACGAGCATATCTGGAAAAACAAACAACTTTTTATCCAAGCTGTCCTGATCAACCTCAACTTTGCAGAGAATGTTTTAATGTTATACACTGCGAATAATTTTTTTAATAAACCATTTTTATAAGAATTCAATAGT